GATAAATAAATTAGAATTATAAATCTTTAATAAACACGATACGGAGCAGTGACAACTTAGAAATATAAATCTAAAAAATGATTCCAAATGAATAATAATAATTGCTTTTATTTTCCAAGTATATAAGAATAATGAATTAACTGCTTTTGTTAATGTTATTTAAAGACTTATTTATTCAAATTTGCTATTTTTAAAATTTTCAATAAAATTTACTGAATTTCCGTACTGATACCGATCAACCAAATTAATGATTGATGATCATTAAAATTATTAATAATTGAAAATTTTAAGAAAACTGGCAAACTGAATATAATTGTATCAAAATCCGAAAATTGTATCAATATCCGATAAGTTATTATATATGTACTTATATTGTTATATTATATTAATATAATATATATTATGATACTGGACAACTATCATACCAGATTATTTAAAACTTTTTTTTGTATGAAAAATCATACTAGTGTCATTAGAAAATCATCGATTAAAAATCAATAATTTTAGTTTAAGCAAAAATAAATATTTTTTATTTTCATATTCATACAATATATAATATTTATAACTTTCAGCATAAACAATATAAGTATAGATAACTTTTTAGTAACCTGGTTCAGACTTTAAACTGTTAGTTCTTAAAAACTAACAACTATACAACCCACAACCAATATTGTTGTGCATTCGGCATCATTTTAGATTTGTCCAATATGCTTTGAATATATAACTTTATTGAGCAAAATTTATTGTTCCCAAATAATATCGACAAATCCAAAAATAAGCCTATTTAGTATAAAGTAAATAAAAATTAAAAGCGAACAAAACAATTGCAATCTATATTATACCTCTAGCGAATTTCAATGTACTACCATCAGGCAAATATTTTTTGTAACATTAGGCAATCTGTGCGCTTATAAAGTGGTCTTTCAAAACTTATCTTAATATAATATTAATTTTAGTTATCATGCTACTAAATACTTTTTCTCGCATGGTCCATAAAAAATCAGTCAATTTTTATGAGTGACCAATTAATATGAAAATTTGAAAAATATTGAATAAAAACGGATAACGATTTTATTTCTAACAAACGTTTCGAGACTAGATTTGTCTCCTTTTCAATGTTTATATATAATAAAGTTCTTCTGTAATGATGTATGTAAATGTATTCCTCCAAAACGATTATTCTGATTTTGATAAATCTATCTGAAGTTTGTTAAGGAAATTTTTTAGGATGTATGTGATTATAAAAATATAGTAATATTATAGAAATAAATGTAAAAATTGCAATAAACAACATATCATTGTTTGACATTGAAAATATTTTAATACATAAGAACTGTCATCTGTCAAAAATTCGATTTACTTGAAATTTGAATTTAGTTTAAGAGAGCCTAGACAATATTGGTATATAATATCCATATTCATAATAATGAATAAGAAAAATTTAATATCTACAATATTATTGCCGAAAACCAGCTGATCTTATTTTTTTTGATTTTTTGATCTTATGCAATTATATTTTGCTTTACTTTACTAAATTATTTAAATACAAAAGAACATTTTCTTTTATTGAAAAAAACTCTTATTATAAACATATTTAATTTATATTACACTAAAAATGAGATCAGGTTTCGAAACGTTTGTAAGAAATAAAATCGCAATTTATTAGTCAGTTGCAAAATAAACTTTTGGAACACTTATATAAAAATTATTGCAGAAAAATATAGGTACACATATTCTGCAATAATTATCTGTATCTATTATAAATTTGCAATCATAAAAAACTAGCATCAACAAGACCATGCGAGATTTTCTTCACTCAAATTCTTTGTGCGATTTTTTTTTTTTGAAAATCTAATTTTGACTAGACAATTTTGAAAAACCTTCACCCAAACTTCGGTGTCGCTAATTAACTATTCTTGTTTAACAAATTTCATAAAAGTTTGAAACAAAATATATCACAAATCACATTACATTATATCACTCAAGATTATTATATCATTTTGTAATGGATAATACAGTTTTTCAATAAATAATCATTTTAGAACTGAAAGCCCACTTACGGAAGATACAATTACACAAAGCGCAAATTTAACTTAAAATTAATAGCGGTTTCAAAACCACTTTAATAAAAAAAAAATGCATAAATGAATACTTGTACATAAAAATATAAATATATATTACTGTGAGTACTTAAGGATTTAATTCTAAGGGCGGATTGCATCAAAGTATGTATTTAGTGATGAAAAATTCGAGTATTTACAAAAATACAAAAGTACTAACAATATAAGTAATACAAATTAAGTTTAGTAGCACAATTGGTTGTGTGATAAATGTAATTGAAAATAATTCTGAATAAATGGATAAATTAGTTAAGCCTTTAAATAATATGGTATTAACATTTTATATTTATAAAAATTATGATCATATTAATCTTTAAGAAGGTGTAAGATGTGTTATGAGGCAAATAAATTGAATAATAATAAAACAATCAGATAAAAAACATAAGCTGTGGTATAATGAGCAAGGCCACATATTATCTTTATCGCAAATTATCAAAAAATAATGAATAAATTGCGTTATAGATTTTTAATTATTATGTATTAAATCTTATCAATATGTATTTTCAATAATTTCACATAAGAACGCAATATTTGTGCTCATCAAAAATAAATGAGAATCAATTTTCGAATAATAAGTTTTGTTGTAAAATGAGGCAGTTACGTGCAATTTATATTTTCTACAAATTAAAATAATTGTTTTAGTTAATATCAATAAAAAAAGTGAAAACAATCATCACATAAAAAAACATGAAAAATATTTGAAAATCTCATGGAAATAATGCAATCCACCCTCAGCACCCAATAGATAAGGGCCTTTTAAATAATGTAGTAATTTCGCCAAGAATAATTTCGTTAATTATATATTGTATGTATATATATATATATATATATATATATATATATATATATATATATATATATATATATATTAAATCTTAGGTCTTATTCACAAAAAATATATCAAATAACCAGAATTTTACATGTGGTTCAAGTTTCAATTTTGTTTCATAGGTTATTCAATAATTCATTTTTCATGAATAAGACCAACTGAGTCTAAAACTATATACTATTGTATTATATAAATATAATATTTGAGCATAAAATGCAAGCTATATACTTCTTTTAGCAGTCTTTAACAATTAAAACCTCTTATATTTTATGTATATATAAGTACACTTGCGTTATAAAAGCTATTCGTATTAAAAATATTCATTTATTAATGAATTTAAAATAAAGTATTTCGAGATAAATATATAAAACATGACAATTTGTGGAAAATATTTAATTCCGATTTCTTCTTAAATATCGGACGGTACGTATTTTGTGAAGCTATAATTATATGTCCTATTTTTACAAAAATAAGAAAACAAACTAAGCCTTTCGATACCTTCAGGAATCTTAAATCATAATCATTACATAGCAATAATATTAGATATTACACTACCATCCCCATGTATAATTAATAATAGGCTTATATATTGATTGTTACAACAACTGCATAAAAATAATGTTTTTTTTTCAAGAACCAATGCAAGCCTCGAATTATCAAAGCAAAACAAATTAGTCCACAAATTTGAAAACTACAGTATAAAATCAATAATCGTAATAAGTAAAGTTAAGCCTTTTCGTTGTTAAGACTATTTAAAAGATTAATCTGAAAGATTAGTAAAAATTTCTTAATTAGTAATTGTAATTTGTATGTAAATTACTTTTACTTTCATAACATTAAATTTAATTTGAAAAAATTTGGTATTGTATCGAGTTGAGTATCATATCAATATTCATGTTTTTTGTAGATGGCATAGTTGGAAGGAGAGGCCTTTACAGGGTATATGGCTGCTTGCGAATTAATTTGGTTTTTATGACAGTAACAATCTTCATTTTAGATGTATAAAACGAATATTATTAATATATTAATATTTCCCTTTGGTGTTTTGTATAAATTGATCCAATGAGCAAATCAATGCAAGCTTATATAGTTTGGTCTTCTTAGTAAAAGATTTGGACCATTTGCAAAAAATACAAAAAGCATTAAATATCGAGCTTAAGTAAATTGGAATTTATCTGCACTAACTTAAGATTGGCTTTTAGAATGCTTTGAAATTGGTTACAGGGCATTTGAACAAAAATATTTAGTAGGAACTTCTATAGCTCGAATTCTAACAGATTTAGAAAAAATGACAAATAACACCAAAACATTTTATAAATGAAGCTCAACTATATTAGAAAATGATCAAGTATCATCAGTTCTGAAAAATAATTCAACTACTGGAAATCATCAATACACAAGTTTAATGAAGATATTTTACAACAGAAAATAGAAGAATTTACTCCAGAACCACTCAAAAATGATGTTGATTTCGAAAGACAAAGATCAATTTTGATTGAAGACCTAGTTGGTGTGGGAGTAAGAAAGCCACCAATTCTAAATCAAACCCTAAAAGACTATGAAATCAGACATTTGTTAATGTTCTAGTTTTGCCATCAAACTATTTAAATGAATATCTATTTGAGAACCCAATACCCAATCCAAAAAATCAATCACTTGTTTAACTTTAAAAATCACTGTTTAATTTGTTAAAAATAATATTTTAACGATAAATTTTAAATTTTAACTGTTATGATTTCATATAAAATATACAATTATTTCACTTAATATTATGTATACAAATGGTTATTTTAAAAGCACATTAAGACGGACTGGTTTCTTATCTTGGCATATAAAATTTAAAATAAAATTTAATAATGCATTTGTAATAAGCTTAAATCATTAATTTGAACAAATGCATCATATAGAGTACATGTATAACTTCAATAAATATAACTATATAATTTAATAAGTAACACAGGCAAGTACGTTATATCAAAAGCAAATTCAATTTGCGTAACAAAGAATCTTTTAAAAAAAAATGATAAATCTCGAATAAAATCTTTTTTAAATCACAATGTTGTACTATTCCCAGTCAACGAGTTAAAAATAAAATTTTGGGCCTCCAAAACATGCATCTCTGTTAAACATATCGCACACAACAAAACAACAAAACCAATATGTTGTATCCCCCTTAAAAATCCCCACATTTTATCACAGAAAATTCCAAATAGTAAGCAGTGCAGCAAAGAATGCACATTTATCACTCTCCACATCCAACAAACAGCAAAAAATAGATTTGATCGTAGAACCAAATCTTGCTTTGTAAGTTCTATCAATGGCAAGTTATCTCTTTCAAGCATATCCTGATATAAAGCAATGTATCGGTTCCAAGCAGTACTGCTCAATAAAAGTTGACCCGAGAAACACAAAACAACATTCATTAACTTTCTAGATGTTATCTTCATTTTATAAAGTATACCACATTCAATGATTTTGTTTTCTGTTGGTAAAATAGGTTGCAAAGGTGTATAGCCGCGCCTTGGAGGATTATTTTTTAAACACAAAAACACACCAATCATTAGGGCTATACAACCTAAACCATCACATATTCCATCTACATAATAACCCATAGTACCAATCTCAGAACGTTCACCTCTTATATGCTTCTTTACTCTGGCAACATGACCATCTAGATCGTCCAAAAAAGTTCTGAACTGAAATAAAATCACACCGATTCTCCTGAATATGATATCATCAGTAGCAATAAATTTTGCAGCCAAAAGAGCTACGAATACATGTGAGAATGAGATCATGTTAGGAGTAATCCAGGAACTTTTAGAAAATCCGATTAAAGTGTCTGAAGCAGTAGCCAGAGGTGCAAATACATAGTGATTTGTATGGTCCAGCATCAAAGCTTTCACTGTAACATCGCATAATGGATTAATTTTGCAATCAATCCATGTCACTGTTTCATATGGTACTGCATCCACTTTATTCACAAGTACTGCATTATTTTCCGTTAAATTGAAGTGATAATTTTTATCAATTGGGTAGTTTTGTATGCGCAAATACAAATTAACATCCATATAAACATACCACAGCAGAAGAATGCCAAATAAAGAAAGCAATAACTTGCTTATGTGAGAACTCGGGCCAACCATTATTAATAGATTTATAAGACGAATTGATTGTTTGTTCTCAGAACTTCAATCCTGAAATGAAAAAACAAAGTTATACATTTACTCAAGTCAGCTGTGAATCCAGATAAATTAAATTATGCAAAGTGTTAATATGAGCAAAAATGTTTGCAAAAGAATGTTAATTTGAAATATACATTAAGCTTAATTAGTTTAAAGCACTAAACATGAGTGAAGAACGAGAACAAACAACCAATCCAAAAAGCACTGTCTGCTTTACACAGATTCGAATCTTTCTGACTTTATGAATTACTATGTAATATGTACCTACACATAAATTACCATGTAATTTAATATAAATTATTTTATAAGCAAATGAAATGGATAAAAACAAATTGTTCACTAAAAAAATTTGGTTCATATAATTAAATACCTCATAATAAATATGTATTCACAAAATTGTCTAAAATCACACATTTTAAAAGAACCTCCTAAAACATACTTTGTATGCGATTTGTACATTTCTTGTGTAGAATAACACTTTCAATTCAAAATATATTTCTAAAACTTTTGCCTTTATCGATTTTTTTATGAAGAGATAATTTTTTTTAATTTTCAATTTTCAATAGTTCCAATGTTTATTTCACAATTTTAAAAGCATTATTTCTACCCATTTATTTTTTAAAAACAGAAAGTCCGATGAATGAAAATATGGACAAATATGTATGTATATAGCTATAATACCCAAAAATTTTGGGCCAAAATAATAATATTTTCCAAAACTCAGATATTTCTTGTGGTGGTATGTGGAAAACTTGTAGAAGTACATTAAAATATGAAACAACTTAGTTACAACATTGAAACGAATAATGTTTTTAGATATTTTACACAGAAAACCAACCATATATTTTGGAGAAAAAAAAACTTAAGTATTAATTATGATAAATGTTAAATTTTATGTGAATGCATACGATACGTTGAATATGTATATAAACTTGACAAAATTTTGAAAATCATATTCTTAAATCTGGATTATCCACTAGTAACTCATGTTTCGAAATAATATGAAATGGACATTTCTATAAAAACAAAATTATTAACATTGAATTATACGCATCGCTTATACTTCACGCATTGTGTAGGAACATAAGAGCTTGTAGTAGGAGGGTGAAAATATAGGTCAGTTTCTAAGTAAGATTATCACTAAAACCATGAGACGAGCATTTTACATAGGTACATTAAATATAAATCGCCTAATTTTCGTTGCAAACGTCTCGGTGAATTTTCACCTAAAACTAATCAGTATCATTCCCAACTAATATCTTTCGACCAGTTTCTGATTTTTTAAAATCGATTCGGTGGTATGAGCTTAAAAAAAAAGTTTAACACTTTTTCGAAATTAGAAAAAAAAACGGCTAGGCCGATCATCGCACAAAACTGACAAACGATAGTCCTCATCGAGATACGTCGAGTGGCTTTTAAATTTTTGAAATCGGTCCAGCCGTTTTTAACAAAACGTCTATTTACAGCAAAAAATCTGTTTACATACAGACATACACTCACACACATACTTCTTCCAAATATGGTCTCATTCGATTCAGAATGGCTTGAAACGTCGAGAAAACATAAAATTGGCGAATGGGATTTTTTGATAAAAACAAACTTCTTCGGGAAGTTAAAAAATTTAATGGTGAGTTTGTTTCTCGCAAGAAGAGAAGAGAATTTTTTAATACCTTTATATAATATAAATAAATTATAATAAATTTATAAATAATAAATTTATTTAAAAAAAATCAATAACTGATTGATCTACTTCAAAATAAATTATATTTGGGTTACAATGATAATTATTGTTGAGACCATGTCTGATGCAAAATAGAGCAATGAAAGGATACATCCTACATATCGTAGCTTCGAACAAAGAACCAGCATTATATTTTATTTTAGAATCTATTGATTATCTAGTTCTAGTGTTATTGGATGATTTAAATGTTACTGAGACATATCTCGTTGTCACATGAAATTAGCTATCACTAAATTTTCAATCAAGAACATTCATAAAGAGTATCTTTACACCAGGCCGAGCAATAAATGCAGTGTTATCTCTTGGCTGTGGCGTGAAAACCAAGTCCATGTATTTGCACGATAATGTCTGAGATCAACGTTCAAATCTCATCCGTTATTTCAATAATTTTGTGAGTAAAACCGCATTTTAATCATTAATCATCCTGCTAGGTTTGCTGAAACAATTTTACACAATGGTATTGTATCTCACAAAAAGTTGTATCAAATCCGGAGAGACTAATTCGAATAAATAAACTAAACCAATCCTGACCAAAACTTCTGCCGTTGTTCTAATTTCTTTATGTGCCTATGTATTTCTTTATAAATCTTTTTTAATCAAATAAAATAAAACCTTAATATTAGTTGAATGCATTTAAAAATAACATTCTTTAACAATATCACAATTCCGATACAATCACCCGATAGGCTAAATGAGATATCTTCTATTTGTGCTAGATTTATATTGACATTTGTTGTTGACATATAATAAATTTCAAATATAAATCATATAAGAACAACTATTTGCGCACATACATATTGTTAACAGTCTATCTGCTTTCTTTGTTTTGTATTAACAGATGGCATAAAATTACAAAAAATAACTTTTTGCACACCTCAGAAATGTTAAATTATAAGATTTCTGATATCAGGGACTAAATTCCTAATCCATAGCAAAAAGATATATTCGAATAACAATCATCTTAATAAATTCAACCAACATAATAAAAATTCATCGATATAAACATAATAAATTACTTTACTACAATAATCAATAAATTAGAAAATTCAACCTTTTCCTCAATTTATATTTGCTAGCCTTTATATAATTGTAGACAAACAAAGTGCATAAAATGCATTTAAAAGTAGAAAGATTATTGTCACAATTTATCATTTGCATAGAATGAATTATAAATTTTGTATAATAATATTTTATTTAATTAAAAACTAAATATGGCGTAGTATATTTTTGATATTGTATTAAAAAAATGTGTCCTTTATAAATTTTCTTCAGACTAACTTTATTGCAACAGTACAAGAAAAATATCCAATTCCAATTTAACGAAAAAAACTTTAGAAAAATGAAATTGGAAACAGTTATTAAATTCTAATAGCAAAACCAGAAAATTTGAAGGCTTTTTAATTTTAAGAATTTAAAAGTTCTAATCGAAAGGTATAAACTTGAGTATTCATAATTTATGTAAAACGATTGTTTGAAGTAAGATAAGCATAATTGCATAAAGCATTATGATAAATACGTTATTATAATATATCATATCTCATGCAATAAAATTCATCAATCGCCATTATACCATTTATAAACAAAATACCATTACCATTATTTATAGTAAAATTTATCAATTGCCATTATAGCATTTAAGATACATGTAAAACGATTGTTTAAAAAACATTAGCAAAATTGCATGAAGTGGTAAAGTTTATAAACAAAATACCATTACCATTATTTATAATAAAATTTATCAATTGCCATTATAGCATTTAAGATACATGTAAAACTATTGTTTAAAAAAGATAAGCGTAATTGCATAAAGTGTAAAAGTATTATTATTATGATAAATTATATATACGGTCTCATGCAATAAAATTTATCAATTGCCACTATATCAATTTATAATTAGCAAGTGATCTTCATAAAAATGTATGATAAAATTCATTAAAAATTAGATGACAAATCCTATTTTTAAGATTATTACTAATATTAGAATTTTGTAGTTTTCAATATTTTAACTATATCCAAACTTCTTATCGCACATATTTTAAATGTAGTCAATGGTAAAAGTAGAATAAGATTCAGTTATGTATTATTTAGCATGTCTTGTTTACCTAAGAAATTTGAAATATTTAAATTAATACATATATATTCATACACTGTGCATGAAAGAATCAACATGACCATAGGATGAATTTTAATTCGCTAAATTTAATACCAAAAACAAACTTACTGTGGTATAAGGTTTTGCAAATGAGCTAGCTGATAACTAACAAATCTTATTTATGAGATTTGTTGCTTTTGCTATTAGAATTTTCAAGATTTCAATATAATTTTAACTATATTCAAGCTTACTTAGCATTACTATCATTATATAAATATTTGTCCACTTTAAACTATAAGATAAACTGTAATTCATTTGAGAATAAAATCTACTGCAAAAAATTAAGTAGACTGATGTAAAGTTTTACAAGTTAATATTGAAGAGAACATATGAATCTATTAAAATGTGGTCGACTGATAGCTAACAAATCCTGTTTATGAGATTGTTTTTATCAATATTATTAGAATTTTGTAGTTCTCAATATAAATTCAATTGTATTCAAACTTTCTTTGCACATATTTTAAATGTACTCAATAGCAAAAGTAGAATAAAATTTCGGTTATTCATTATTTAGCATGTCTTGTTTATCTAAGCAATAATTTATAATGTCCAATCTCATACACTGATCATCAAAAGATCTATACTATTATAAGTATTTATCTAGTATTTAACGCCCTCAAGATATATAGGAACTGCAAAAAATATCTGGTATAAAGTTTCCCAAGTCAATTTCCCGAAAAAAAATTACAGCCAAATTGATAGATAAGAAATCTGGTTTATGAGATTTGTTATTAATATCACTAGAATTTTGAAATTTTCAATATATATTTATTAAGATTCAATCTTTCTTCAAATCTTTGTATCACTTTCTTTATATAAAAATATGTGCACTTTAAATGTAGACAATAACAAAAGTAGAATGAAATTCAATTATTCACTATAAAGCTTGTTTTGTTTCCCGATTTAATAATAATGTTTCATATCACTGTGGCTATAAGTTGAATTTTGATTCACTTGAGATAAATATTGACTGCAAAAAATTAGTGTGGTTTAAAGTTTTCCAAGTTTTTCATGGAGAAAATCTATAGCCATTAAAAAGTAACCGACTGATAGCTAACAAACCAGTTTAGATATGTTACTAACATTATTAGAATTTTGCAGATTTCGACATGCATTTAACTATGTTCATACTTTCTTTTGATCACTTTATGTGCAAATATTTTAAGTTTAGACAATAGCAAAAGTAAAATAGGATTCAGATATTCACTATTTAGCATATTTTGTTACCCAATTTAATTAAAATGGGAATCACACACTGTATCAAATTAAAATTGTAGATAAAATGTAATTAACCCGAGAGAAAAATCTACTGCAAAAAAGTAAGTATAAAATTTTGGAAGTTAATTTCATGGATAAAACTTACAGCTATTAAAATTTTGCCAATTGATAGATAACAAATTCTGTTTAGAAGAGTTGTTATTAATATTATTAGAATTTTGTAGTCTTCAATAAAAATATAAATATAAACAAGTTTTTATTTATCACTTTTGTGGACACATTTTGAATGTAGGCAGTGGTAAAAGTAAAATAAGATTCAGTAATTCAATATTAAGCATGTTTTGTTTCGCAAAGCAATTTATAATGTTCTATCTCATACACTCTATTTATACAAGTAGTTCAATATTTAGCATGTTTTGTTTCCCAATTTAATTATAATGGTCAATCTCACAAACTGTATATCAAAACGATTTTAACAACGATAAGAGAAAATGCAAATCGATTACAATAAATTAAGTAGTCAGGTACAAAGTTTTCGAAGTTAATTTCATAGAGAAAATTTATTATAGCCAATTGATAGTTAACAATCCTGCTTATGAGATTATATACAAGTAGAGGAAATACGGACAAAATAGTATATATGAACAAAATGACACCACTTGAAAATTGGGAAATTTTAGTAATGTTTTCGTGAATGTATAACATGAAGAAAACTATAATCACAATCCTGTCAGAGGTTCAGCGTCATTATTAGTCTTGTCACAGTAATCAGTTCAAATGTTTATCTATCCTCCAAAAGTTTATTTTTCAAGCAGTAATTATTTGTATTAAATTATTTGTAATTATTTTTATTAAAATCAATGAACTTATGCCATTAAGTATATAGTGAATTTGATCAATTTATTGCAATTATCAGGTGTTTAATGAAAATTTGATTATTTAATATTTATTCAATTTTGTTCACTTTCAGACAAAATAACATACTTATACAAAAGACAAAATGACAAGTATTATTACACGAGCACTACAGAGCAGTCCATTCAAAGGCAAGAGAAAAAAAATTAAAACCTGTCAGTTGTTTTTAACTTTTACTATAACTACTAAAAACAAACTAAAGCATCCACCTGATGACGTAAATAGCATGATATATGGATACAATAACAAACAATAAAGTGTGTGAGTACATTATATATTGTGAGACACAAATAGTGATATTTAGATATAAATATTGTAGAGAGTGTAATTAAAGGCAATAAACTAATAAATAAATTAATAGAGGCAAACGGAGTTAACACACTGGTGAAAAGAGACTTGCATTTATAGCATAAACCTCTTTTCCTACACTGAGCCGGCTGAAGGTTGGTTACGATGTATAATTTGTTACCTTTGGGCTTATGCTTTACATGATCGAGAATAAAAAAAAATTCTTTGTGAACTGTCTTCTTAAAAATTAGCATGTCAGTATGTCCTTACAACATATATGTATGTATATATATATATATATATATATTTACATTACAATATATATATATATATATATATATATATATATATATCTTTACATTACAATATATATATATATATATATATATATATATATATATATATATTTACATTACAAATTTACACAAAAGAATCTCTCAACATAGAAATAATTCAAAAAATAAAAATCTGTGTACAACAATGCTCTCAGATTACATTAATACTATTCAACATAACATTGATCTTCTAAACCCGAGTATTTTACATTTTGAAATCAATATATTTAAAAGAAGATTTAGTGAAGGTTGTCTAATATAGTTAAGCAATAAAGCAATCAACAAGAGATTTGTCAGCTATTCACTCTGCAATGATTACAAAATATTCCTCGACAATTTTTCAAACAATATTTGTTGTTGTTTTACAAGTTTGCACATTTCTTAAAAAAATCTTTGTAAACGCATTCATTCAGAGTTTAGACTTCAACAACTATGTACACAAATCTAGTCTTTTAACTCCAATTCATAATTAGTTTTAAATAGTTGAACTTGAATTAGTTTGAAATGTTAGTTTTTTAACTTTAATTCATAATTAGTTTTAAATGTTTGAACTACTGATAGCTTGGTGTTAACATTGTGTCAATTAGTGTAGTATAGTGTTTAATTGTTTTTATCTGTGAGTACCTATTTTTAAGTCCAATATGTTGTATAAATTTCCTTTCTTAAATTAATTACAAATAAACTTTTTAGTTTTGTCACTGAATGGATAATAAAACTGTTTTACTAATTGCTTTAGTCATTTTATCCACAATAAAGAGACAAAATGGTTTTTGAATTTAGTTGCATTTTTCTTTAATAATATGTTATTATAGCTTCTACTTAATTAAAAGAATATGTAAAGCCCGTAGCCAATGAACATAAAAATGGGGAAAATGATTGAGAATGATTAAAATATCATTAAATAAATAAATATCATTGAAAAAGAAAGAGAAGAAGTCGAGAGAAATATCGACTGCAAAAATCTAAACAGGATTGTACAAAAATTTTCAAGTTAATTTCATTAGATAAAATTGCAAATAATTGCAATGATAAAATTCTTATTAAATTATTATAACGGCAATAACTCTGATTAAATTATCTCAAGTACCAAAGGATTTATAATCCAGTTATCAAAATATCAACTAAAAATAATGAAGCAGGATTGTATAAATTTTTTCAAGTTAATTCCATTAGATAAAATTGCAAATAATTGCAATAACAAAATTCTTATTGAAATATTAGAAATAAAATAATAATCTGATTGAATTATCTCAAGTACCAAAGTATTTATGCTTCAGTTATCAAAATATCGACTGCAAAAAAACTAAGCAGAATTGTATAAGTTTTTTCAAGTTAATTTCATTAGATAAAATTGCAAATAATTGCAATAATAAAATTCTTATTGAAATATTAAAATAATAAATAATGAATCTGACTGAATTATCTTGAGTACCAAAGATTTATAATCCAAATATCAAAATATCGACTGCAAAACTAAGCAGGATTGTATAAAATTTTACAAGTAATTTCATTAGATAAAACTGGAAATAATTGCAATAATAAAATTCTTATTAAAATATTAAAAATAATAAATAATAAATTTGATTGAATCCAAACCAAAGGATTTCAATTCAGTTAACAAAATATCGACTACAAAACTAAGCAGGATTGTATAATTTTTTTCAAGTTAATTTCATTAGATAAATTGCAAATAATTGCAATAATAAATTTTTTATTAAATATTAAAAATACTAAATAAATCTGATTGAATTATCTCGAGTACCAAAGGATTTATAATTCAGTTATCAAAATATCCACTACAAAAAACTGAGTAGGATTGTATAAATTTTTTCAAGTCAATTTCATTATATAAAATTGCAAATAACTGCAATAATAAAATTAGTATTAAAATATTAAAAATAATAAATAATAAATCTGATTGAATTATGTCAAGTACAAAAGGATTTATAATTCAGTTATCAAAATATCGACTATAAAAAACTGAGCAGGATTGTATAAATTTTTTCAAGTTTTCATTAGATAAAATTGCAAATAATTGCAATAATAAAGTTCTTATTAAAATATTAAAAATACTAAATAATAAATCTGATTGAGAATTATCTCAAGTACCAAAGGATTTACAATCCAGTTAATTATATCTAACGAGGAAATGAGTCACAGTAGAAATATACAAATTGCGCGCTACAAATACAAAAACTCAAAGATAATTTTGTAATTATTTTTATCACTTACTTGTGGAACCTGTGTACTTTTTCCTGAACCGGTTTCTCCTATCAGAATAACAGTTTGATACAAATCCAAAGTATACAATATATGGTCCTTGATACTCCTTATTGGCAATTTTTCACGTTGAAGACTAAGACTTAAATTATTATTCGGATTGAATGTGAACGTTGTAACATCCTCTTCCAAAATATAATCGGGTTTATCACAAATTGAATCACCTGAGATAAGAAAGAAATAGATAAAAATTATTGTTCCAAATATTGAGGTTAGCTGTGTGACCTTGTTTATTGTAAAATGATTTGCTTTAATAACTGACCTGGCTTTATAAACTTAGGTTTAAAATTCATATTTAATTCACTAAACAATATTTTCTTTCACATTTTCCGCGTAAGTGATAGATTGTAAGCGAAAGGCCGATGAACGTCAAATGCTATTTTTAGAATGGTCCGACTCGATTTATGTTTGAACTCACACACTTATGAAAATAACACATACGAATGGATTTATTTATGAATAAAATTTGTATTAATTATAAATCATGATATAACTGCTTTTGCATACAATAAAAAAATCGAAATAAAAAAACAACACAACTAAAGATAATACTGAAATCATACGATGTCAGGCGATCGGTTTGTTGTGACTGACGGATTCGAGCGTAAACAAAATTAGAGTTCACATACAAGTGCTGCCAACAATAGAGTAATCAAAAAATGGGGAAACATTTCGAAATAATTCGTATTAATTGAGGCCAGAAATTTAATAATCATAATCCGACATTTAATTGAAACAGATACAGAATTTAATTAATCATCACAAAACACGAATGTGCATTATTTCGGTTTCATAAATAATTAATTATTGTCCAGTTATATACAAGCGCTGCCAACAATAGAGTAGAAATTAATGGAGAATCTTTATTAACTTCCCGTAGGCGGGCATCCATTAATAACGTGAGCGAGTTTTTAAGGATTTTTTGACCCCCTCCCTCTTGGTGATACATGGTGATATTCAAAATTACCCCCCTCCCCCACCAAACATCACGTGTATTTTTAGTTACGTGATATATCTGTAAATTTTTTTAATTTTTTTTGAAAAGGTTTGATTTTTTTTAATAAAATCAGTTAAAAAATAAATACACGTGATATCTTTCTGAACCCCTCTCTCCCCCACGTGATATTTCGTGATTTTTTGTTAAACCCCCCCTCCCCCTAAAAACCTCACATGATTAATGGACGCCCCCTAGGGTAAGTTATAGTAATCGCAAAAAAATCGAAAATGAAAATTTTCATATGGGTTTTTGATAAATTGGATTTATTTTAGCATTATTCATGCTCACAAAATCACGTGCTTGTATTAATTCGTATGTTCTATTTCTAATTTTTAGTTCTGGTGCTTGATAATTTTCTGGCATAATAGGTAATATGGTTTCAATGATTGTTGGTGGTTTGTTAGTCGGTTCGAGTTTTCTTATAACACCACTTGTTTGACTTATAAATCCTTTCAGAGGTTTCTGAACATTTTGGCATACCTTAGAATAAATGAATGTATGCGTGTGTATGTGTGTGCGTGCGTGTGTGTATGTATGTGCGGATACAATTTTTCGTCGACAATTTCGAGAACAATTTGAATAATTCAAAAAGCATTCGATACGTATGGATAAGTAGCCATGCTTATTACTTTTTGGCATAGGCAGATCTAGCCGTTTCGAAGATACGGGGCAAAAAGTGCCAAAAACGGTAACTCAGTTTTGAAGAGAACGGAGCGTCCGATTTTAATAATCCGCAAAACATTTTACTTGTATTGACAAGATGAAGAACTGATTAAATTTTTGGGAAGGCAGGTCTAGCGGTTTCAGAGATCTACTGAAAAAAGTAAAAAAATGCCATTTGGCGGTCAAAAATGATCATTAGACATATGCACATCAAATTACCAGATATTTTATGGAGATTTTAATAATCTGTATAAATTTTCTTTACATTTCTATGGCTTCGGTAATGTCGATTGTCCGTTAAAGGGCAACGCGACGCTTACGCGCTTCGATATTTCGTCTCTAAAGCAGTGCTATTGCTTAGGAAAAAAGTTTAAAATTTTCAAAATATTTCAAAACATTCTTTTCCAAAATATATTTACTTCCAAAAATTTAAAATTTCTCGAAAATCTATTTTTTTCAAAGTTTAAAAAAAATATCTCTTTTTAAAAAAATAATTGTTTGTACAGGAAGTTCCAGCAATTTGCCTTAAGGCACGATGTCATACACCGCTAGTTTTGTATTTGAATAATTACAATCTCATATATAATTAAAAAATATAAAGAATTTAATTAGTTGTCAACAATAACGAAACAAACGTGTGAGTTATTTTTAACTTCCCATAGGGTAAGTTATAATAATTGCAAAAAAATCCTTCTAAAATTTTATATATCCTTACGTTTCAGAGTATTCTGAACATTTTGACATGCATTAGAAATAATTGATGTATGTGTATGTATGTGCGCAGTGGCGTCAGAAGTAAAATTTTTTATGGGTCGGCATGTTTTTTTTAGACATATTAGGCCATATCATTTTTTGATGGCTCAAGCCCACCCAGCCCACACGGTTCCGACGTCACTGTATGTGCGGATACAATTTTTCGTCGACGATTTCGAGAACACGGATCAAGCGACTTTAATGATTTAAAAAACATTTGTTTCTTATTGATAAGGAGACATGCTGATTAATTTTTGCCAACAGTCCGAAGCAAAAAATATAAAAATGGGAATTCTGTTTTCGAGAGGACAGAGCATCTGATTTGAATGATTTAAGTAACAACTGATTGAATTTTTTAGAAGGCAAGGTCAGCATGTTTTGGAGATATAATGAAAAGAGTAAAAATCTTCAGCTACGTTTCGCGACTGCTATGAAAAAAATGAGTAATTTTCAAAAAAATTCAAAATATAAAAAAATCAAAATATTTAAAAAAAATCAAATTTTCTCAAGAAAAATTAATTTTCATACGGATAGTTTCAGCAATTTGCCTTAAGGATAATGCCATGCACCACTAGTAGTTCAATGAATAATTAACGATTATCCAATTGTATTACTTTAATTTAATAATTATTATACAATTATATACAAGTGCTGCCAACAATAGGTTAAACAAAAATGGAAAAAGCTATTCGAATTAAAGCGTTTAGTAAATTGATTGAATATTGGAATTGAATAATTACAACATCACATATAATTAAAACAGATAAAGAATTTAATTAATTAACACGGAACAAAAGTGTGTACTATTTTTATCCCATAAATTATTAACCATTGTCCCATCTAGTCCCATCATTGTCCAATTTAATAGAAGTACTACCCACAATAGAGTAAACAATACTAGAGAAAATTGTTTAGTGAATTGATTAAATATTGGAATTTAAACAGATAAAACATTTCATTAATTATCACGGGACAAGAATGTTCATTATTTTAGTTCAATGAATAATTAATCATTGGACAATTATCACATTATGTGCCGATTCTATAAAATGGAATTGCAAAAGATATTAAAAATCTAATCATGTCGGATGAGATGAATAATGAATTCAATACCATTATATCTATAACGCTCAAAACATGATAGTAGAATGATATTTAGGCTTGTAATGATTCAAAAAAATTATATAAATATTGGATTTATGATTAATACAAATTCATTCCGCGGATTTATATGTTTTAGTCAATGCTGTATGAATTGTACCAGAATAGTTATTATAATAATACTCCAATCATGTCCGCCATAATAGAGTTATTATATTCATAAAAGTCGAAAGAATTTTTTTTATTATTTTTACTATTTCAAATATACAAACGAAGTTTTAATTACTATAATATCTGTATTAAGAATTTTAACGATGTACAATAAATGAGTTTAAAGGAAGGTATGGAAGTTTTAAATTGCTGCATATAAGTTTTATTTACTTTATCAAACAAGCTTTGAGAAACAAATATAAATAGTAATTATTTAACCGTGTTACTTGAGGAATGTTTTAATCCAGAAGTTTCTAACCTTTTAGTACCACGCTCCCCCGCTCTTTCCCGTTCTTATATTAAAAATTGTTACGACCCCCTTAATTTTTACAACAACTTAATTTCATAGATATAAATACTCAACTGATATTATAATTTAATTATTATTAGACTTAAAAATAATATGCAATAATTATTTTAATATTTTTGGTTAATTTTTAAAAATACAAGGCGCTGCTGTACGAGCCAGTAAACCGCCCAAGTATTAGTATCATTATTGATGAAAATAAACTAGCAGTAAGTGGAATTCTGTCTTAAGGCAATTAAGGCATCGTGCCTTAAGGCAAATTGCTGGAACTTCCCGTACCAAAAATTATTATTTTTTTAAAAACGATTAACATTTTTGAAGAAAATTTACTTTGAAAAAATAAGATTTTTGAGAAACTATAAATTGGACAAAAAATTACTTTTTCTTGAAAAAAAGATTTTTTAATTTTTTTTTTCTTGAAAAAAATTTTTGCTTTAATTTGACATATTGTGGAAGATCTGAACTTTTTTTTCAAAGCAATCGTACTGCTTTAACTGCATAGAGACAAAATATAAAGCGCGTATGCGCCGCGTCGCTGTCTAACGCATAAGCATTGGTACGGAACGCATAGGAATGTTAACAAAATGTATACTTATTGTTAAAATCTCTATAAAATATCTGATAATTTGATGTGCATATGTCTAATGATCATTTTTGACCGCCAAATGGCTCATTTTTTTACTTTTTCCTCCATATCTCCGAAACCGCTAGACCTCTATGAAAATTTTATCAATTCATCTTGTCAATACAAGTAAAGTGTTTTTTGAATTATTCAAATCGGACGCTCCGTTCTCTTGAAAACTGAGTTACCGTTTTCGGCACTTTTTGCCCCGTATCTTCGGAACGGCTAGACCTGCCTTCGCCAAAAACTAATCAGCACGTCTCCTTATCAATACAAATCGAATGCTTTTTGAATTATTCAAATCGGTTGATCCGTGTTCCCGAAATCGTCGACGAAAATTTATATCCGCACATACATACACACACGTACATACATACACACACATACAC